CACAGTTAATGCACGAGGGATGTGGGCAATACCGTCCCAGAAAGTGGGATTGCCTCACGTCGCGTCTATCAGCCAAGCGTTTGCACACTTGTTGTGACACAGACTACTGTGGTTCGCAAAGTATTGTGATTATGAAGGCCTCGTCGACGTTAGACGCGCGTTAAACGCGACACGAGAAGCCAGCCGTATTCGCAATGATCTCACTGTCGGTCCCGTGTCCATTGCGTCGGTCGTAGTAAATTACTTCTTCGCGCAATTCGCACTGTCTCTTGCATGTAGCATGAAGAAGCTACAGCCGAGATACAAAGTGATTTCCAAGTCGTGAAAGAGGTTTTTTGAGAAAAGAAATCAAGATACGCGGAACGAGAAACGTACTAACATTAACGAAATTAGAGAGGAAAGTTGCAATAGAGAAATCAAAGCACATTATTGACGATTTGTAGAATAGGGGGAAAAATGACATGGGAGCAAATATTTAATACTAATGGGCAAGAATTTTCAACATTTTCGATGAACTCTTCTTAATTTCTCCTTTGAACGTTATGTTTATAGTTTCCCTCCTTTAGCATTTCCTTCGTTTCAATTATTTTAATTTGTTTCTTTTCAATAATTCTCTATAAATTTTCACTAATCATTTAATTTTTCTGTTGCAGCTTCTTTTCGGTTCGTGCAAGGGGCATTGCGTTTTTTCGGGTATTCTTTTCGGTTTTAAATCGAAATTTGCTTACATACGAGATACGGTCCGATATGTGAGATCGTTGCAATACGTGCTCAATTCTCTTCACGTTTACCGGTCCGTCGAGCTTGTCTCGTACGACTAGCGTCTAACAAGCCGATAAGCCGAATTAACCACAGTTAATGCACGAGGGATGTGGGCAATACCGTCCCAGAAAGTGGGATTGCCTCACGTCGCGTCTATCAGCCAAGCGTTTGCACACTTGTTGTGACACAGACTACTGTGGTTCGCAAAGTATTGTGATTATGAAGGCCTCGTCGACGTTAGACGCGCGTTAAACGCGACACGAGAAGCCAGCCGTATTCGCAATGATCTCACTGTCGGTCCCGTGTCCATTGCGTCGGTCGTAGTAAATTAATTTTTCGCG